GGGTTTCTGGGCATAAACACCTCACATCCCATAATAGCAAACCATTAACTTCACAACACAGCCATGTGTGAGCAAACACAATGTAATTGCATACCATAAACCATTCTTAAACCCTCGGTGGGAGACAGAAATGGGACCTAAAGCTATGAACTGTCACACTAGTAGATGTCCACGTTCCACAGGCATCAGTCATCAAACACAGTGATGCAGACAATGCTGCCATATGCCGTCCATGGTTGTGTTTGTTGTATAACGCTGCACTATTCCAGCAACATCATGACGGTTTGTAAATACATGTGATCTGGATCAGAGAATCCAGTGATGGACATCATGAGCATATAGTTGGGATACGATGTCATGCATACAACAAGAAAGCAAGCCTGACTGCTTCACCTTGCCATAATTGAACTCATGTTCAACATAAAAGGTGTCTAGGTGAGTGAGTTCCGCCAGTATTTGAAACTAGGATTTGAATATTGGAAATTTGAATATTCTGGCCTGGGTACCTTGACTTTCAAAGCAAAAACTGTAAATCTAGAAGGGTTTTTTTGTTTTGTTTTTTCTTTATGCCACACTCAGCAATGGTTCAGCTATATGACAGCAGTCTGTAAATAATCAAGTCTGGATCGGACAATCTAATGACTGACATCATGAACATCAATCTATGCAATTGGGATACGATGACAGGCATCAAGTCAGCAAGCCGGTCCACCCATTCCCGAAAGTATGAAATATGTCAGTATTCTCATAAAAAACCTGAGTAGTATATACCACAAGGAATATTATTAAAACTACTGTGACAAAAAGAAGTTCAGACTTTATCTAGTTCACAACCTCCTGGCCTTGATTCCTGTGGACTATGACCCAAGCATGCATCATCATTTTCGACGGAGAAGACATGTATATTTGTACACGATATTTTGGCCTCAATCTGTCCATACATCAGCTCACAGTGAGACAACATGGAATCCAAATCCCACATGTTTACTGTTCCATAAGACTGACTTGATTTAATCACAGGTCTAAATGAGATCAATCTTGGCATAAGTAGTATAGGTTTTCTTCTGATTGTTCAACGATAGTTCAGTGTAATAGTGTTGTCAGGTAGTTAGTCACAGCAAGGAGATGCGTTCCAATAGTCACAGCAGAGTGTGTGTGTGTGTGTGTGTGTTTTTGTGTGTGTGTGTGTGTTTGTGTGTTTGTTGCTTATTGCTGCAATCAGCAATATTTTTAGCAATATGATGGTAGTCTGTATTAGAGGTGTTCCAATTACCGTAATTGAAATAATCGAAGATTGGTCGCAGTGACCCAACGACCAAGCAATCGATCACATTTTCTCATAATCGAACATAAACGATTTTTGAACTACTTTTTTAGTCTTTGAAATACTTGACAATGGAACATATCGTTGAAGTTGTTAGTGCCTGAAAACGTGTTTAATTCATAGAGAAATCACTTCACTAACTGAAAAGTCATGACTGAATATTTCTTGAAGACTCCAGAAAGTTTATGTTCATGATATATAAGTCATCACTTTAAAGAAGCAAGTTGCATCATGTTATACATATCTGCAATAACAACCTGGATAGGAAAATGTGAAAAATGACGCTAACCAATGTTTTTCGATGATTGTTCGTTGGTAATGATGCAACAATCAATTATGAGATTTCAACCAATTCCAAACACTAGTCTGTATATAATCAGGTCTGATCAAGACATTCTTGTATTAGACATTATGAACAACAATCCATGCCATTGTTTGTTTAATGCCACACTCAGCAATTTTCGAGCTCTGTGGCTCCGATGCCATCGAGGGATGATGACACACTATGAGAGTATGAGGACACGTCATCAGGTCGACTGTAATGACCAAAAAACAGGTTGCTATGGACCAATTCTAACCCAGGAATTTGGACAAAGTAGTACCAAGTAATTGGTTGGTTTGTTTGTTGTTTAACACCACACTCAGCAATATTCCAGCTAAATGGCGGTGGTCTGTAAATAATTGAATCTGAACCAGACAATCCAGTGATCAACAGCATAAGCATCGTTCTACGCAATTGGGATATGATGACATGTGTCAGCGAAGCCTGACCACCCGATCCGGTTTGTTGCCTTTTACTCCAACTTAATTATTCCAAGATCAAGACCTCGTCAGGAACAGACATAACTGAGATATTAAGGATAGGCAATCTTTACTCCCATCCACCACCTTATACACGGCCGACTACAGCTCTGGTTGTCATAGTCACTTATCCTTTCCGATGTAACTGGAACTATCAGTAAACAGTAATCAGTAATGATATAGTGAGTAAGTTTGGTTTTATGCCGCTTTTTTAGCAATATTCCAGCAATATCACAGCATTGGACACCAGAAATGGGCTTCACACATTGTGCCCATGTGGGGAATCGAACCCGGGTCTTCGGCATGACTAGCAAACGCCTTACCCACTAGGCTTCCCCACCACCCAAGAAATGATATAGAACATTCTGCTGAATTCTCTTTCAATGTATCTTGCTTTGTATCAACTGCCCATCCCCCACATGCTTGAGAGTCATCAAAATGCAAGTCCATACAAGGGCTGAATGAAGAAGCCATCAAATATCATTACAGAGTGGAGCTAGTGTTACTCTGCCTCACACAGTCAAGTAAGTCAAGTTATTTGACAATTATTATGACTAAAGCTGGCTGATTTGGGGAATGCATACATTCTCCAACTAACTTTGATTGTAAGTGACTATTCTTCAGATGAAACAAACTCTGAATGAAAGAGCGACCATATGGCACCAGTTGTATAGGCCTTTCTCCTCAGATCAATGGCTGGTCCACTTCACACATCTTACATCAATATTGCAGCTATACAACTTTGATCCAGTTTACTGTACAGATTTACATCCATTGTAAAAGCTTTAAATCCATCCATGCATGCAATGGAACATATCCCCCAGCAAAACGCTACAGTAGACTGCAGTGGTTCTACTGACCTGTTAAATATTAGATGTGGATGAAGGATTAAAGTTCTTCAATGGCAGTGTTAAACCGACATAATGATTTCCCATTGATCTTAAACCTGAAATCTAGGTAAATGCTTATCAAAATACAACCATATTTATTACATTTAAAGAAAAACTAAGCATATATGTTTGTAAACTTTACCATACATTGCCTTTCAAATGTATAAATAATGTAACAAAAGCACACTAAAATTATAAGAGGTTGCCATTACACATTACACTCATGACTCAATGAATTGTAATGTACAAAAGAGTTTGCCCCAATGAGGTCTAGGAAACATTATCTTCAAGCCTAGCTTGAACTAGATCATGCTAAGATAGACAACATTAAAAAAGGGTAACTCATTCCGAGTATGTTAAGAACATGCCAGTCAGTGTGGTTAGTCATGTATTACAAACCATTCATACAAATCATTATCAGGAATTGTTAATCTGATGAGTCTTTGTCCAGAAGCATCACCACTTTACCTATCTTACATATGGGTAATACAAAATCAATGCAAGGAAAAGAAGCACAATAACAGCATAACCTTTCACCACTTAACCTGTAAGATAAACCCAGGGACTATCTTGACAGTAAGTGGATGATACTATTGCTGTTGGATATAGGGGTGGAATAAGCTGGCCTGGCTGGTGTATACAGCAATCAGGAGCCAATCAGGCATGGCTTCCCACACTCCAAATGCAACAGTCACTACCAACAAGTTATTAAGGATCAATAGTGTACAGGATGCTTTACTCTGGGAAAATGTTGTCTCAGTAATGCTTCAGTGAATGACTAATTGTCATAATGACTTGAGTTGGTACTGACTATTGGATGTAGATGTCCATCACACAATGCATGTCGATGCCCATGACACGATGCACGTAGATGTCCATGACACGATGCACGATGACACGAGTTTGATGTCCATGACACGATGAATGTAGCTGGCAAACCCGGTGCATTGAATGGGTATATGTTAGTAGTTGTAGTCCATGACCAATGTAGCTGGCAAAGGTTCAGTGATTTTGCTCTTATCTTTAATATGAATAAGTACCTAAAGGATCACTAATATTATTTTGTTGTAACAGTATGTTGTATGTATTTTGACTAAAATATACACCTTGTGGTCGAAGACCAAAAATACATTTTGTCACAAGCATATTCATTATAAACATATTTACTGTATATTCTTGTGAAGGCTTAACCAGTAATAAAAGTTCACATTATACCATTATGTAATTTGTAAGAATGACTGCCCCTGTTCTGAAAAAATTGTTTCATGGAAGTTTCTGACTGACTGACTGAATTTGGTTTCACGCCGCTTTTAGCAATATTCCGGCAACATCACGGCGGGGGACACCAGAAATGGGCTTCACACATTGTGCCCATGTGGGGATTCGAACCCGGGTCTTCGGCGTGACGAGCCAACGCTTTAACCATTAGGCTACCCCACCGCCCCTGGAAGTTTCTGACATTTTAAGATAACCTGAACTTAGTTCCAAGTATTACTTAATACAACTGAATGTTTAACCATTTCATTTTTTGGTGTTTGAAGCACAAACGAATCACAGAAATTTACACAGTCCTTTTAGTGGTTGTGCTTGTACTTAGGAATAACAATAATATTCTTGTGAATTTCAATTAATGTCAACACATCAGAATCTAACAGCTAATGAGTTTCAGAGGATAAAGGATGTATGATATTCCATTTTCTCCACAGATGTCAATCTGTCTGCATGCAATGGATATCAGTAAAACTATTTTCTGAACATTTGAAGTTACAATTTCTGTATTTTTCTGTACATTTATGGTAACAAGTTCTGTATTTTCTCTACATTTGATGCCACAAGTTCTGTACTTTCTGTCAGACCTGTTTTGGAATTTCTACAAAACTGCAAGTTCTTACTGTGCTTAACAGTTCCAATAATCTCAGGTGATAATCTCAATGCAAAAGAAAGTTACAAGTGTCATGACTAGATGACAAACTGGATCCTCTTACCTTCTCTAGGAAAGCATTTGCCCATTTTGTGAAAGTCTTCTTCTGTATATACACTCTCTCATCCTGAAGGGCCTTGATGCGGCCCTTCTCAAACTGCTGCGATTCCTTGAGAGACATATTGAAGTGTCGCACCTCTCAGCTACAGGGCCACATCAGGGTGAAGGTAAGTCTGAAACACGGAGAACAGCATCAGTATAGATGATGTAACCCAGATAATTATCTATGTCTCATAATAGATAAATAGCAGTTTCTGTTCCCCTCGGGGATAAAGTCATCAACTTCCTGAAGACATCAAATGGTATGCACATAATGCAAGTAGCTTGAGGGCGCACTGATTTGTAGAAGAGAGTCACAATTACTCAAAAAGGTCTTTCAGATGTGTCAGTAATATCATTAGAGGTCGTTATACACATGATCAAACAAAGTAGTTTTTTTAAAGCTTTTGTAAGTGTCAGATGCCTTGTGGTATACAAACCACAAATAATTACTGTTAGTTGCTTGCAGCAAAGGTTAAACATCATCATCATTGCCACAACCTGACCATGCAACGCTAACATGAACACAAGGAACAATATACTGCAACAGCACAGTGTTTCCTTGTAAGTCGAAACACATCATAATTTATTCATATAAATTTGAGTAAGTGTCAACTTGGTTTCTACATTATCAACAACTACATGTGTTTATGTTGGTCAACTGTTTTACAAAATGTCTCAAGTGTCACAGAATTATGGCTGCTATACAATGATCTGTTGAATGCTAAGACAATGTACAGATTACTGTTTTAATTCCAAATTGCTGTTGGTAACTCACCATACTGACAATAACATGTACCCCTTAGAATCATGTTATTTTTGTTATGAAGAAAATCATCTGTTTTTCAACACTCAAGTAGGTGTATTTAGTAGAGGAAGTCAGCTCTTTACTGACAAGTAATGTAATAAATAACTGTTGACTCAGTTCATAAACCTCACAGAAACTCCCAATCAAACTTAATGAAGATTTATACCCAGATCAAGATCTCACCACATCCTTCAGTAAGCATATCACACTGACATCACAAACATACTTGACATAGAAAGGAGTCCAGTAAAAGTAAGGTGTATTTCTATGTTGATCTGCACACCTCATATTCATGGCACTTATAATGCTATTGCCTCTCTTCCACTGCATAGCCTACCCTTGACAATGTGCTAGGAGAATTGTAATATCATACACAATAGTAGAAACCCACCAAACACTAGGTCAACTACAAATACAACATGAGTTATCAGAGGTAATCTTCAACTACTCCAGGGGCTGCTCTGTCCACAGTGGGTGAATGAGGGAGTTGGATTCTATACCAGCCTGTCCATATTTTCACAGATCTTACTGGGACTTTGATTCATTACCAGCCTGTCCATATGTTCACAGATCTTACTGGGACTTGGATTCATTACCAGCCTGTCCATATGTTCACAGATCTTACTGGGACTTGGATTCATTACCAGCCTGTTCATATTTTCACAGATCTTACTGGGACTTGGATTCATTACCAGCCTGTCCATATGTTCACAGATCTTACTGGGACTTGGATTCATTACCAGCCTGTTCATATTTTCACAGATCTTACTGGGACTTGGATTCATTACCAGCCTGTCCATATTTTCACAGATCTTACTGGGACTTGGATTCATTACCAGCCTGTCCATATGTTCACAGATCTAACTGTGTGTCATGATGTTGTGGAAGATCTGTATAAAGTGATGCAGGTCAAGCTGGTTTGTTGTGGACAGCTGAGGATCATTATCAAGGTGAATCTGGCACCATAATCCATGACATGTCAGAGTCCACTCAGCCTTGTGAGGGTATTTCCGTGCAGTGTTAGCCTTCATGGCTTCAATTCCCCTCCTTATTCCACTGTGGTCACTCTGCCACAAGAATGTATATCATATCTGTGACAATTGACAGGAAGTGTGGTAATATTATACACAATGGTCAAATCCCTGTGTAAGCGTCCATACCAAGGTGAGATACCAGAAAAGATCACAGATAATCTAAACCACTCATGGGGCTGTTGACACAGCACGCTGACCCTGTCCTCGGTGAAGCAGTGTGTGCAGTTGACCTATTGCAAACTGTCTTCATGTTGACCTACGTAGTAGACCAACACCCACAGAAACTATATCACTCATAAACAGACACGAACATGATCAAAACACTCATGTGGTCAACTCACGGACATGATCAAATTCCAGACAGGATTAATGCATTGAACTAATGAAGATACAGATATGCTTAAGACACGGACAAGATGGTACATTATGGACGTAGGTGGGACAACATGTGACAACACTGAATAAAGTTGGACACCATTGAACACCATGATCAGATATGGAGATAGGGACAATCTTCAGAGGAGTATCTGAAGTGAAACAGGATAGACAGATAGATTTATTCAGTGTAATGTGGCCATGCATTGCTAAGGAGTGCATCACTGATAAGATCTCCAGACAGAGGTTGATGACAACCCAGAGGGGGATATTCAGGGGGTGATACTAATCAACTGGATTGACAGGTTTGTGGTATACGCCATACGGAAGGTTGGTATGTGCATACTACAGATGCCATATGTAAGAGTGACCAGGTGCACAGGCAGGTGAACACATTATACACAAGTGAACACATTATACACAGGTGAACACATTCTATAAACTACCTGATTGTACACGGTGAACACATTATATAATCTACCTGAATATACACAGGTGAACACATTATACACAGGTTAACACATGTATAAACTACCTGATTGTACACGGTGAACACATTATACGAACCATCTGAGTTTTCACAGGTGAACACATTATATCATCTACCTGATTATACACAGGTGAACACATTATATAATCTACCTGAATATACACATGTGAACACATAATATGACCAACCTGATTATACACAGGTGAACACATTATATAATGTACCTGGTTATACACAGGGGAACACATAATATGAACTGCCTGATTATACACAGGTGAACACATTATATAATCTACCTGATTATACACAGGCGAACACATTATATAATCTACCTGAATATACACATGTGAACACATAATATGAACTACCTGATTATACACAGGTGAACACATTATATAATGTACCTGGTTATACACAGGGGAACACATAATATGAACTGCCTGATTATACACAGGTGAACACATTATATAATCTACCTGATTATACACAGGCGAACACATTATATAATCAACCTGATTATACACAGGTGAACACATTATATAATCAACCCGATTATACACAGGTGAACACATTTCCTGAACTACCTGTAAGACCTGGCTATATTCAAAATGAGTCATCAGTGAATCACAAGTATTAAAATTAATCCACTTAGTGTATTTGGAACAATATATGGTCTTACACTTATCAAACACTGTCCTGCAATAACCTTACAATACTGTCAGAATAATCATTATGTTTTCATTCCTTTCTAATCTCAGAAAATGGGCTGAAGAAACATCATGACTGAATGAAATGCATTCATTGTAACGGTCGTCTGGTGCTTCCTTGATAATTTAATACCTGCTGCCTCATTATGGACGACCCACAGGTTTTTACAGCATATTAAAGTCAACTGTAATAGGGCACAAAGGCTAAAAACATAAATCTTGAAAATTCAGGATGGTAATTCTTCAACCTTTACCATCACAATATCAGCTTATCATTTGGTCAGATTTGGTATAAAAAAACTTTCACTTGACATGCCAGCCTTTTGACAGAGTGACTTTTACACAGACAGATTGAATACATCGATCAAAACATGGACAGCACCAACAAACATTCCACATCGGAAACTGTATCAACAACCTGATCAAGGGAAATTTATCTCAGAGCTGACAAAACATGTCTTTAAATAAATATTTTCGTTAATGAATACAGCCAGCTATCAAGGCCTCGTCTTTGATGTGTTCACCAGGTAACAAGGCCAAGATACTTCCATGCTTATAGCCAGGCCTCCTTAACGGAGCAGCACAGTACTGTGGGGCATTGAGACTGAGATGCAAAATACCAGGGGAATTTGTCACCAAAACAAAGCCTTTAAATGTTTAACTGCAGAGTGTCCTGAAGTCCATGAGGCAACACAAGAAATCCCCACAACGACCTGTTGGAGCAGCGACATGCAGTAAAAAGTCACTCCCGTTAGCTCAGAATTGTGGCCATGTTTACTTTTGACTTAAGATGCACAAGAGAAGATCAGCTTAAAAGAAAAACTGTGCCACAATTTCAAGCTTGAAGGAATATGTGAGAAACTTGCCCGTCCCCATCCCTGGCCCAGTGACACAGCTGACACTGTGGTTGTCAGGTGACCTTTCAAAACACAACCACGATGTTTGAAGCTTGACATAATATAAACTCATGCATCACCTGGTGGATGTGTGTAGTTTGTTTTTTGTTGTTTAATGCTGCACTTAGCATTATTCCAGCTACATATCATTGGTCTGAACGAACTAAATATGGATAAGGCAATCCAGTGACTGACATCATGAGCATCGACCACCATAACCTGGATACAATGACTGGCATCACACAACTCAAGCCTGACCACCGAAAGCCTCTTCAGTTCATGAATACAATTTTGAACCAGGAATCTGGGTACACCTACAGAATACTGGATACCTACCAGCCATATTGTTTAGTGTCATGTCACCCTAACCCTAACGCTAACCCTAAACCCTATCCTAACCCTAAACCTTACCCTAACCCTAAGTACATGTGCATGCTTTCAAAGATGGCGGAAGGTATTTGGTATTCTGTAGTCAGTCCGGAATCTGCACAGAATGGAAAAGTGCAGATTTGAAAATTCTTGGCTCAATGCACCAACAGAATAAAGCATATTGAACTGTAGAATACATGCTCCATTAATAACGACTCCATCTGGGATGGTGTCTGTTTGATGAAAAAGCGCAAACTCTGTGCAAGGAACTTCTTGCAGCTATAAAACATAATGGCAGATACATCTTGGAGGTGTCAACAATGTGCCACTCATACAGAATGAAAATTGATACCATGTTACACCCAGACCAGAATGTCCGACCAATCTAATAACCAACCCAGGAAGCAGATCACCATACCAATCACTGACGACACAACATTCTGTAGATACAATTA